AGGAGAGGAGGGGAGGGGGGGGGGGACACGACACCCCGGGATGACACCCCGGGATGACACCCCAGCGCCCCCCCGGTCAGGGCACTGCGCGGCAGCCCCGTGCCCCCGAGAGTGGGGGCTGCCTGGTTCTTTGCTTTGGAGGGTTTTTTTGGTTGCTTTGGGGATTATTTGGGGGGCTGGGGGGGCTGCTCGTGCAAAAGCAAACCTCAGTGGGAAGCTTACCCTGCACCCCCCTTTTCCACCCACCCTATTATTGCAACCACCTCCAGCCTCTGCTGACCACGTCCGCAGGCCCAGCGCCCTGTGCCTCATATGTTGATTTTTTAAGACGTTTAGTTGCCTGATTTTTGGCCACTGTTCCAATGCAGGGGTTTTGGGCCATCCCGCGTAGAAGTGGAAATGGGGCTGTAACGAGGCTCTGTGGGCAGTGGCCAGCAAGGCACGTCTGCAGCCACCCACCCGACAGCTCCTGCACCCACATCAGTGGGCTCCGTTGAAGGGCCCTGAGCTGTGACATGCTGCAGTCCAGGACTGTAGGACCTAAGCAAATATTTCTGGGGATTTGGAAAATGATGGACCTCTGCAGGGATGTCCATGGATGTTAAAAACAAGAGGTGATGGGGAGTGGAGGAATGTGGGGGCTTTTTTTCATTTTAGAATTTTAATAACTGCACCCAACACCACAGAGCTGGGGCATGGCTGGCAGCTCAGTGCACTCCACTGTGCTCCCTGCACCCCCTTTCTCAGCTCCACATGGATTTGCACCTCCTTTGAAGGTGGCAGTTGTTTGGAAAGGAATTTGGGAATCCCCTTTGTTTGTTCCGTTTCCAGCTTTTTCTCCCCAGCACCACAGTGGTAAGTCAGAGATAGCAAAACAGAAAGAAAAAACCCACAAACCAAAAAAGGACGCACCATGACAACCCCCAGCTTCACAAAATATGTGGGATTTAAGCCAATGTTTTCCCCATCAGGTGATAAGTTCAGTTTGGAGTTACTCCCTCGGAACAGTGCAGCTCATGGCAAAGCAAGGCTGGCTGGGGTAAAACACCAGCTTTGCAAAGCAAAAATGAGGTGAGATGCTCCCAGGAGACCATGTTTGTCCCAACACTTGCTAACATCATGCTTTGAGCTGAGCTTCCAGAGGCTCTGTGTCTCTCCTCATGCAGTACTTTGCCTAATCAACATCTGAGACTTTTTACTGCAAAGCCTGTAGGAAAAGATGACTCAGAAAGCAAATGGGAGAGATGAAAAGGGTAAATTTTAGGTATTGGACCACATTGTGCAATCATGCCATTTTTAGCCTTCCGACAAATAGCTCAGAGGCATTATGCTGGTGTCCCAGGACAGTTAACTTCATACATCTCGGCTATCTTCGTATGTCCTGGCTCCCTGGATGCCACACACTGCCAGGCTCATACCAGCCCTGCTCTCAGCCTGCTTTGTGATTAAAATTGCCTGAGAGGCCACTGGTCCCTCACCAAAGGCCACTCAGCTGGCTGATGCATAACCCTCCTCCCTGCTGGCTTCCAGCAGCCAGACCTCCCCATGATCCCTAAATGCAGAACCTCTTCCCCAGCATGCCCTACTGCCCTCAGCACCCCAAAAAGAGGGGTAGGAAATCCCTCCCCTTTATTTTCCCAAAAGGTTTTTCCTCCATGTGCAACAAGATTTAAAGGCAGTATGAAGAGCTTTACATAAAATAAGCATAAAAATCTGTTTAAGAGTCCAATTAGTGTTGTTGCTGTTGAAGCCAAGATGATAAATCTACTTGGATGAAAAAGGAGCAGGTGACAGGATAGTTTATGTCAGAGTCAGAGCTGCAAAGCCAGAGCCAGAGCCTTTCTTCTTCTGGACTGTCACAACAATTTTCCCTCCTCAAGTCACAATACCAAACGTACGCTTGCTCCCATTGATTCTGCAGAAGCAATACCTCCACCAGCATGGAAGAGTAAGTGCTGCCAACAAGCAGGAAAGAGGACGAGAAGTGTTTTGGTCTCAGGTCCTTTCTCCCGGTAAATCCCCGCTGCTGAAGGGCAGGGAGGCTTCCCCTTGCCTTGGGAGCAGGACCTCAGGAGGCACTAGGCTTCTGTTGCAGGCTTTGGGCTTCTTGTCCTGCTCAGAGAGATGGCCAGTGCAACATGGCCTCTGCTTCACTTGCAAAAGCAGTAGCCAGAAAGGTTTAAGTACAATCAACAGCTGTAAATCAAGCCAACAACAAAACCATTTTTGAAAGGCAAGAAATGTTAACACACTGAAAAAGTTACCTTTATTCCTTAAAAGTCTCTCAAGTTGTTGATAGGCTATTTTTAAATTTATCAGAGATGTTTACCCATTTTTTAAATGCCTTCAGCCTCATACTGATAAGCAAACCTATTTAATTTCCTTACAGAAGAGTGGTCAGAAAGGAACAGGAAGGGTTTGTCAGTCCATGCCACTTAGATTAATTTGCATTAGGCTCTCTGCTGAGGTTGCTAGCAGGCTGCTGTCTGCCGTGGTACAGACCTCCTCATTCCAATAGCGTAACTGCATTTTAATAACTATTGTAATATTGAAGCACCAGCCTCCCCCCGCAGCTTCCTGCGCCTGTTAGCACCCATTAGCTGTGTGCTGTGGGGCTGCTCCTGGCTGCCAGAAACCCCAAATAAAACATCAATGTTTCAGCAGCAGCCCTCAGCATGCATCATGGCAGCTACCATGCCCCTTGGGAAATGAGGTGCAAGGGAGGAAAGCACCCTCAGCCCACCCTAGTCCTCGCCCACCCCAGGGAGGAGACTGCAAGTTTCACCAGCCCCTGGAGGGAGAAGATGCCCAGGTTGCGTCTTCCGCCAGATTTCACCTGACAGCTCTGAAACACAATAAATGATCCTCTTCTCGGTAGGAACAGTGAGGAGTGTTAGGAGAAACGGGGTTCAACCAGACCCACAAGCCCCAGGTGATGATGGTGCTCATCCTCTACAGGCACAGGGGCTGGAGGAGGGCTGACTCGAATTGGAACTTGACTGCCAGCAGCACCCCTCCTTCTCCAGGTGAGTCCCAAGGGAGACATGCTCAGACCATGGCCCACCGTGCTCCCATCCCTCCCAGCAACTGCAACAGAGCAAGCACCATTTCCCAGTAGTTGCTATGGCAAACACTGGATGCTGCCGTCACAGCTCAGTTCAGGATCGGTTTTTGCACGGAAACGTACAGATCAAAGCATTTTTTTGTCATACAGGCTAGTTATCGCCAATATTTTTCCTTAAAATATAAAAATATCTTTTCCCTCTGAGGGAAAGCAGTGGCAGCAAGGGACCAGCACATTTGTTCCTCTCTTACCTGCATGGGGAGCTCCAGGCACCCACCCTGGACTGAGGCTGGCACCCTCCTGCGTGGCTCCCCAAAATGTTTTCCTTCAATTAGTTCATTTAGGTGGCCCCATGCTTCACTGAGCATTACTTAGACCTGATTGTCCCTGGCTGCTGAACAGCAGATAAGCAATGTTATTTGAATTTTGTAAATTCGCGGTCAGGCTGTCTTGCTGGAAGTGGCCAAGGTGCACAATGTGCCCACGTTTGGCTTGCACTCCCCTGCTGTGACACAGGTCCGAACAACTGCCCCAGAGGAGCCACAGGGAGGTTTGTCTCGGTGCACAGTATGCAAGGCATGGCAGATGAAGGAAGCACAGGCACAGAGTTTGCTCCACTCCACCCTGTCACTGATACCATGCTGGCCAAACCCTCTAACAAAAACACGCATAGTGGCTAATTTAGCAACACTCATTTTCCTCTTGCAGGGGAAGAAAATGAAAAAATGCACAGACAGCAGACAGGCAATAGATTACACAACCAGGTTTTAAAATGAAGCATGATTATATTTTATTCCAGCCTCCCATCCATCCCCACACATGGAGCATGTGCCCTTGTGCAAAAGCATTTCCTGCAGCATGGAGTGGATGCATCTGGCCAGGGGCTGCCCTGAAAAATGATGGGCAAAGAACCACAATTTCAATGGAAATAGCCATTTGTACCATGACCAGATTTGGAGAAAAGGATCGGCAGCGCTGCCTGCCCTCATTATTGCTGCTCGACACTAGCAGGGCTAGGCTGGGAGGGGTTTTGCTAATGCGAGTCCACCTGGGCTCATATTAAGGCTTAACTGGTGAGGTTCAATGCTACCATTTTCTGTATGTATGCAACACAGCGAAATGCCAATTAAAAACTCCATACGCACAATTACTCCACAGATAACACCACAACAGAGAAACAATTTGAGAGTTAGGGCCATAGGGCAACGTAAGTGGGAAAAAATACTTCCAAAGGTAGAAGTAGCTGTAATAGCATTTATTGCCACGTTGCCATACTCACTATAAAATAAAACCCTTTCCCCCCCTCTGTAAGTGTACTGTGAATGATAACATAAATCAGCAGCACAAACTGTTGGAAGAAAAAACATTGGGCACCCAGGGGCCAAAGGCATCCCCATCCCCTGGGAACAGGGGTGCAGAGGGGCTCCCCCCAGTCACCCCCCAGGGAGGGGTCTCAGCCCAGCTCCCTCCCCATGAAAGCAGGAATGCCATGGGGCCAGGGCAGAGGTATTTTAAACACAGACATCGAAGCCATACTTTGATGGACAGGAAGAGACTTGCTCCTCCAGCTGTCCAGTGAAGAACGAGGGAGACCACCAGGAGCGAGGCTGCAAACAGCCACCCTCCCCAAGCCTGCAACTCTCTCTCTCAAAAAAAAAAAAAATCTATTATTGCCAACAAAGAGTTTTAAGATGCCCTTGCACCACAGATAAGGTGAATTAATTGGTCGAACTTGGTCTTGTTTTGTTGTGGAAGGGAGAAGCTGGTTTGTAAGAGAAGGGAAAGGGGTAGATATACAGTGGATATACAGTGTCTGAGGTATGGTCAGAGGAAAAAAGTGCAGCAAAAAGGAGAGGAAAAAAAACAGGAAAAAAAAACCCAATAGGTTGGCTCTGAACTTATCGCTTGTATGAAAATGATTGTCAAAAGAGTCACTAGTGAAAATAAGGTAGGAAAATACGTTCACCATAGAGGTACTTTCTGCTTCGTTCAACAACAGAAAGTTAACCCAAGGTCCATCAAATGTTTTCTGTTCACCACAGGAATAGTCTTTGGAAAGCCCAAGTTATGTCATCCCAGCAACGCCTCTGAGGATGCTTGTCTGGGCTCTGGGGTGAAGATAAGACCCCAAGCCCAATACAGCTACCCAGACCCTCCCTGCATCTGTCCAGAGAGGGTGAACTCAGGTGTCCCACAGGGTCACCCCCAAAAGCTGCCCAGGTGCCCCATCTCTCCTGCACCAGCATCCTCGTCATGGCACACTACCCGAAGCGAAACTTCAGCCGGTACTTGACAGGGCCGGGGTTTTTCCGAGGCGGAGATGGGGCGACCTTCAGTTTCGGTGGTGGTGGTGGCTTCTTTTCAGGGAGGGTGACAGTGAAGGCGAGCTCGGGGGGCTGGGGCTGCCAAAAGCGTGGGAGGAAGTGCGTGGAGACGTGCTGGGGCCGGGCACGGGGGCTGCAGCCCCGCTTGGCTTTGCCCCTCTTGTTGAGTGCCACATACCACTGGCGGCCCGAGCGCGGGCTGCGGTGGACAGCTGAGGCATAGGTGTTGTAGCTGTTCTCCTGGAAGCGCTCCCGAAACTGGCAGTCTGCTGTGAACCGGGCCTGCGGGGACAGAGCCAGGGGAATCATTAGCAAAGGGCTGGTTTTACCTGTCTCCTGCCCCACAAAGCTTGCTGGGTTTTAAGTCTCCCCAAAGCAGGTCCAAAGGGGTGAGCAGCAACAAGGGGCTCCTGGGAAACCCACTCTGAGGCTGCTGGGCACCCAGCAATTTGGAAAACTCCCAAAACAGATACTACCAAGTAGCTGCTTGCCACCCAATTTTGGACTTGCCTGGAAAAAACAGTCCGCCTGCCCCAGCAGCACCCTTCCCCATTCTCTGCCCTTCCCACTGACAGGAGGGAGAACATGGCTCTGTACTCCCCATGCTGCAGCTCTGCTGAGGATGCTGAGGTTGAGCCCCTGCTCCATCTCTGTTCCCACCCTCACACCCCTTGTTTGGGCACTGAATCATCACTTAATAATCTGGAAAGGCAATTTGCATGCAGATTTTCATTGCTTCACTGAACATGGATTTGATTGTATTGGATTTTTTTTTTCTTCTTCTTTGTCTTAAATGAACTGAGGGCACTTTGTCCCTTTATATCCTGAAGAAATTACTAGCAGACCAAAAGCATCACCTCTTATAAACAAGGTGACCACACTGGCTCCTGGATGACCGGGGGGAAAGGCTTCCCACTGCCCAAGAGGACAGGCTGAATGCTGCCCATAATAGCTCCTTGTCAAGCAGAGGGAGGAAAAAAAAAAAAAAAAAAAAAAAGGACAAAAAATAGAGCCATAATGCCCCAGCTATGTACCCACAGCCCTGGGACACCTGGCTGCAGCCTCTAGCAGCCCCTCTGAAATTCTTTGCCATGCTTTAATCTGATCATGGGCATGGTACCTGGTGCCCTGATGGCTTCTCCAGCCATGCCTGGGGCACTGCAGCCTAACTGCAAAGCAACACCTCCAAACTATTGATGTGAAAGGGATACAGAGCTCTTGAGCTTCAAAACAACAGAGAACAAGACAATACCCACAAGCAGTGTTTTATAACCACACAGAAAGCCCAGCTGCCTGAGATGATTTTTAAACTCCTAGTTTAATCAGAGAAGTTGACTCCTATAGGTGACAGACTCTCCAGCATTTTTTCCTAATAGCACTTTGAATTAGGTCTCCTTTTGCTCTCTGCTTGAAAGAAATGTCACCTCGATGACTGATTTTTGCTTTCCCTGTCTTTTATACATCCTGGATGTTGTTTCGCCCATGCATGAGTATTCACCTTCCCAAGGCAAGGCTTTGCTGACCCCTCATTGTTCTCTGAAGCCTCAACACATGCAGCTGTGCTTGCGTAAAGCACCCCCGCATCTACCTTTGCATAGGAAGGTTTTAGGATTGACCAAGGCACCAGTGCATGCCTGAAAGGGTACTCAGTGCAAAAGGCGCTGAAAGAGGCCCTGTGTTTCCCAGTGGGATCTGGGTAAGTGGCAAGATCTGGCTTTTTTGGCTTAAGAGATAAAGCTGGCTGCCAAGACCGAAGATCCAGTACTGAAATTGTCTCCAACGGGCTTTACTGTGAATAGAAGATGTTCATACCCCTGCTCATACATATCCCTGTACAGATGGGTAAACTCACCACTGCTTTGCTTTAGGGTAAACCGAATCAGCATTTCCAATCTGGCCCAGCATTTCTGGGGCAATACCACCTCACAAAGGGAGGCAGCAGTAAGAGGGCTGCCCAGCTCCCCATCTGGAGCATTACAGAAAAAGTTCCTGCTTAAAGTGGTTTTGGGGGAATTTCTCCCTAAGAGTTGGAATGGCATCCCCTCTGAAGTGTGATTTGGTAAAGTGTGAGGGGTCCCCAGCCCAGGATGCAGAGGGATGCTGTGGGCTGCTCCTGCTGGCAGTACAGGGAAGGAGAAGACCCACAGCCAGCATGCATGGAGGGAAGCCCTCACGCCTGGATGGCAAACCATGCTGGAAAGCACTTCAGCTGCTGCTTTGCCATCACTCTGACAGGTTTCCCCACGTCCCAGCCTCTCAGCTCAGCAACCACACTGTTTCAGCTGGGGAAAAGGGATTTTTCCCAGCACAGAGCAGGCAGCATGGCCACGACATTCTGGCTGGCCGTCAGATTTGCTCTGCAGCAGCTTCAGAAACAATCATGAAGAGCAATCCTGAAGTCAATTAAATTTCAAAATCCAATTCAACAAAGATTTTTCCCAGCAAGGACCCCAGTGCTCGGTCAACTTGGAACAACTCCTGAGAAAGAAGAATTACCTGAGACCCCTCTCAGGTAAAATTTCTCCTCTGGGGTTCATCCTGGCCCCTGCTGAGACTGAGACCAAACCCCCTCCTGCCTGTTCCATGCTAAAAGTGTACAAACAGGGGACTGAGGATTTATCAACGAGGAAAAAGCCATCTGTGCACGCAACTGATAATTGCTGGGATTACTGTCATTTTCTGAAGCTGATGCCTCTAAAAACGAACCACTTGGTAATTTAATTAAGTTGCCATAAAAAAAAAAATAAAAATGAGGAGGGTTGCTGTAAAGCACCAAGCTAGGATAAAGCCGGGTCCTGTGAGCTTGTTTCGAAGGAGCCTGAATCCCTGCAGGAATGACTTTTATCTGCGGTTCAGCACAAAGTCACCGGCGTGACTCCCATATCAAAGCGCTGCCCTGAGTGACGGGCGCAGGACGCGCTTTGTACTGCTCAAAACTCATTAGGCCATGAAATAACTTTATCCTGCCAAGGCAGGAAAGAACAACAGATGCTGGGTTTGCATTATCGGCATTTTTTAGCCCAGCAATCTTTAGACATTTGGGTCAAGTTTCTACAAATTCATGGCTTCCATCCGAGCGGGGCATCGTGTATCCTCACCCCCGCTCTGACCCACCTAATTGAGGTCCCTCTCTGGCACTGCCCTTTGTGTGCTGACAATTAACCATACACCGACAAGGTTTGATTTAATTTCTGCCTGCACCAGGGCATAAATCAAGGCTTCAGTTCAAATAAGGGGCCCATTGTGTGCCATGAGGGAGGATAGGCTCTGGAGGGTCCAGGGATCACACTCTGACCATTTTCCCTCTCCTCTCCATCCTTTACCTTGCAACTGCTCTCCTCCTGCTCTGCCCATTTTCTGCCCCGTCTCCTTCCCTTATGTTTTCCTCCATGCAGCCATTCCCTCTTTCCCTTAGACACCATTCCTGCTCCTACTTTGTTTCCTAAAATAAGCAACCACGTGCTCACCCTTTAAGCATCATTAGGTTTCAGGAGCAACACTCCAATAAGACTCAAGGGAGAGCAAGACGAGTTCATAAATCTCACTTGAAGGCAATCTGTGGGCCCGGTAGCGTAAGCACATCAATAGCATCCACTCTGCAACCATGAGGTTTGGCTCATAACCATGGGGCAGGCAATTGTCTTTTTCCTCTTCCAGGCTAATCAGCCCTGAACACGCTCCCAGGAACAAACTTGGGTGACAGGTCATCCAAATTGATGCCTTAAAAAAGCTCTTTGTGTGTTGCTTTTATACACCCCTTTAAAAGGCAACGACTTTCATGTAAGCACAGTACTTATTTAATTTGTTTAAATGATCTCTAGAACTAACGAACAAATTAGGAAGCAGCATCTTGAAGTTGAAAAAAATATGAAATCAACTTATAGGATTCATTTAATTCAAAAATCCTGGAAAAAAGCACCATTAGACCTGCAGAACCCAAACCTTCAGGAAAACAGCCAGCAGAAACAAGAGTTACTGGGATTTTTCCACTCAAGCTGCAACACTCCAGCATGGGCTGGACCTCACCTGCCTGAAACCCTGCTCTCACCTGGGAACATCTCTCCACCATGGGTGAACTCAGCCAAAACTCTGGGGCCACAGCCCCTTCCCTATGTGTGCGCACGGGTGCAGGCAAGCTCCCAGCGCCACGCATGCCGCTCTCCGGGAGACATTTGGCTAAAACCGTCTGCGCGATCTGCTGCAGAAGTTGCTAAAAATAAACCGGCAATGCTCTAAGAACAAGTCCTTTTGATGCAAATACCCAACTGCAAAAAGAAAAAGGAGAAAAAAAAAAAAAAAAAGCACTTTTCTTGGTTAAATGCAGTAAGTAGAGATATGGGCTTCAGGGTTTTTGGCTCCACCTGTCCCCTATCTGTCTGTGAGGTGCCAATGCCACCCAGCGTGGAGCCCTCCCAGCAGCCGAAGGGCTCGGCATGCCAGGGCCCTGCCTGGAAGCATCGCTGCTATGTGCACGTGAAGGTGTCACAAGGCCTTTAATAAACAATACATTCTGATAAGCAGGGGGTTTACTTACACTTGCATGGAGTTTTCCTTTTTTTGACATCGCTAAAAATTTGTTGCTGAAAACTCCTCGTATTCCTACAATCCCCTGAGACACAGCAAATATTTCCAAAATACCTAGGATGACAGAAATCCCAAAATAAATCACAGTTCTTTTCACATCAGTGTGACAAAAAAAAAAAATTAGTCTCATAGGTTTGCAATTCCTCTCCACACAACACTGCTCCTCAGCTGCCTGGCTCCACACAATGCTCCTGATCTGTCCCTCAACCCTGCAGAGGGACCTGCATCAACTCCAGAATGGCTACAGGGTGGTGGTTTGGGTTGGTTTGTTTGTCTGTCTTTTTAAAAGCTGTGATTTAGAGGATAGTTTCTGACTTGGCTATGAAAGAGCAAGTTCACCCCTGTGGGGAAATCCCTCAACAAGTATGGGAAAAGCCCCTTGTGCCTACAACCAGCCTGCTGAGATCAGCCTTCCCTGTCCTCCTCCCGTACACACCAGACTGGAAATAAAGGCGTCACATGCACCATTCGAGGCTACAAGTACCAGTAATGGTTTCTCAGGCCCCTCCCCGCAGCAGGACTCGGGGAGTGGGGTACTACGCAGCCCAGACACAAGAAAACAAACTGTTTTCCCCTCAGATAGGTATTTTCTGAGCAGGTTTGGGCTCTGACCCCCAGCAGGACATGCATGACCTATAACTCATCTTACAGAATAGCTTAAGAGCTTCAAACTTCAAGTGTCATTCAGCAACAGTACCAAAATGTTTCACTTCCCCACACAGCAGTGAACCCCCAGGCAGAGGAAGGGTGGCAGCAGGGGTCATGCATACCCCCAGCACCCTCACCAGTCAGGGGAGCTGAGGCAAGCACAACGTCCCCGCCATGCCCTTGCCACACTGGGAAAAAAGCATTGCTACCCCCAGCTGAAGCACTGGGGTGGCCCCAGAGGGTCTCAGTGGCCCCAGCCCTGGAGGAAGGAGCCCACAAGAGCATCTCGCCTGGCCCCAGCAAAGGACCAGCATGGATTAACGTGCCAAGAGCAAACATGAAGCCACCGCTAAATCCCCGAGGCCAGGGGATCAGATCACCACTTCCCATGTTTATTTTAAGGAGGAAGCGCAGCTCCCGGAGGCACCTAGGTCCTAACACCAAGGGCCTGAGGGGCACTTTGGGGGGCTGGTGGGCCACCCCTCCTCACCTCATGTGCAGTGGTAGCAACTGCCAAGAGGCATGGGGCTGTGCAGCCCCACTGCAACACAGCACGTACCCTCTCTAGCACACTTCCTGTCCTCGAGGGCACCCCAAAACCTGCTGGCCTTTGGTGAGTGGCCATACTGGCTGGGAGACATACTCCAGGTTATTGGGGTGCCCTGGGTCAAGCCCAGCTTCCCAGGGGTCAAAGCCTGAGTTTCCCTGCCAAAGGACTTCTTTCCCACAGTGGACAGCTCCTTGGGGCAACACTGGGGCATGTCTCCCCCCACCCCAGGCATATGCCCCCAGCCAGGGCTGGCTCTGCTCCAAAGTGCAGAGCTGGTGCCACTGTCATGTTTCTGGGGAGAAAAATCTCAGATTAAAGAGGAAGGAACTTCACTTAATCCAAGTCCCTCCAAGACATCCGTGGCATCAAAGGCTGCACATGTCTCAGGGGGGAATGCCCCTGTGCCATGCCACTGCAGGACGGGGGGTCCAGGGAGGCACAGCACAGGCAGCCCCTCCAAACTCACATCTCCCAAAACAGCCCCAGCAGGGGTGCCCCATTTTCCCATCCATGCCCTTTGCAGCCCCTAATCTCCTCCTGGCCATGCACCCACAGTGCTCCTTGAAACCCCAAGCAGAGTGTCGGGCCTCCGGGCATCCTGCCTGTGGGCTGCCCTCCTTCACAGGGCCACGGCACAAATTATTCTGCCCAGGCCAGATGTGGCCATTGCTCTGTGAGCACGCCTGACAGCTGAAGCCACGCATGCTGCCAGGGTCACCTCAGGCCCAAGCCCTGAGGCTCTTTAAGTGATTTTTCATCCCTGCCTGACATTTCATTCCCTCTAACAGGGTATCACGGCAACTCCGACCCAAAGGATAAGCCATGAGTTAGCACAGCTTTCTCTCAGGGGAACGTCAGCCTCAGTCCTATTTTTAAACTGAATATATCCTACCACTGTGCTGGAAGAATGAAAATGCACAAGGAAGGATGGAAAAGTTACACAAGGAAAGGGTGGAAAAGGGCCCCGAGGGAGAGCCTGGTGCAGCATCCATAGCCTCACTACCCCAGCAGAGTGTGGCGGTGGGAGCACCAACCTCATGCCTTCACATCGATCCCCACAGACTCACTTCCATAAAGCAAGCAAACCCCGCGAGGCAGCGCTTGCCCAAGTGAGCAGGGCAGAGCTTGATCCGCTCCCCGGGGTAGCGTCCCACCCGAGTCCGCAGGACAGCACCCCCAGCACCCTCGGCTCCAGCCTCCCAGGGCAGGCAGCACCCCAAATTCACCTTTCCCGAGGCTGCCGTGGCTGCAGCTCACCCCAGGTGACGGCAGGAGGGAGCAAGGGGCTTTGTCACCCCAGAGGAGACACCCCCAGGGATGGGGATGCCACAGCCCCGGGGCCGCACCGGGGGGAACACCCCGCGGCCCCTGCCCCC